AAAAGCCACCGCTATAATTAGCCTTACTTGGCTCCCGGTCAGCCTTTATGTTTCCTTCCCACCCCTCCAAAAAAAACAAGCAAAGGCATCTTTGCTGCGGGGTGATGGAGCAGCGTGTCACTGAGAACCAGCAGAGAGGTCACAGGGACCCTCGCTTGGTCTTTTTGGGTAAACACGGTTGCCCTCCTGGTGCAGAAGGGCCCTCCTCCTCCTCCTCCTGCCCCGGCGGCCCTGGCTTGGGCAGCCTGGCACGGATGCGGGAATAAAAAAGGGGTGAATGTGAAGGGAGCAAAAGCCGAGAGCCAGAGCCGCTCTCTTCCCCCTGCCCTCCGCCGTGCCGTGGGCAGGGACGTCAGCTCCCGGCAGCTGCCGGCACCGTCACAGGGAGCCGGGGAAAGGATGCAGGCGGGTAGCGACCGGCAGAAAAGGTGTGCTTGTTCCAGATGCAGGAGCTGCTGATGATGTACGTCGACGGAAGGAGTTACAGTTGCCAGAGCAGGCTGGGAGCCAGGGCTGGTTCTGTAAAACCGAAGCCTCTGAGCCCGCCTGGCTGCGCGTTGCTCGTACAGGACCTGTCCCTAAAGAAACCGTTCTTTTACGCTGAAAGAAAGCGACGTGAAGGCTCGGATGGAGATGACAAATCTGATTGTGTCTAAAGGCGTTTTTGAGGTGCCAATTTCAGTAACTCCCTGAGACCAGGCAAACAGCTTGGTAGAAACACCACAAAGGTTTAGCGCCGACTTTCATAAAGTCTCTGCCTACAGCAGGAAGAATGTAGAAGAAAGCTCCTCTCATTAAATCCGAAAGGGCTGTATCACAGAATCACAGCATGGTCGGGGTTGGCAGGGCCCTCTGTGGGTCACCCAGCCCAACCCCCTGCCCAAGCAGGGTCACCCAGAGCAGGCTGCACAGCACCGCGTCCAGGCGGGGCTGGAATATCTCCAGAGAAGGAGACTCCACAACATCCCTGGGCAGCCTGGGCCAGGGCTCCGTCACCCTCAGAGGGAAGAAGTTCTTCCTCGGGTTCAGCTGGAGCTTCCTCTGCTCCAGTTTGTGCCCGTTGCCCCTTGTCCTGTCGCTGGGCACCACTGGAAAGAGTCTGGCCCCATCCTCCTGACCCCCACCCTGCAGATATTTATGAGCATTTCTAAGGTCCCCTCTCAGCCTTCTCTTCTCCAGGCTGAACAAGCCCAGCTCCCTCAGCCTCTCCTCGTAGCAGAGATGCTCCCGTCCCCTCATCATCCTCGCAGCCCTCCACTGGACTCTCTCCATTCTATATTCTAGTATAACCTAGAATAATACCTCCAGCCTTTTGTGTTGGTGGCGTGGGGTTGCCTTTGGGTCAACACGTTGGCGCAGAGCTCACGCACTGTCCCCGTCGCAGACTTCCCCTGCGGTTCTTCATAACAGTGCTGAGCAGATCCCCCGCTCCCTGGGCTTTGCTTCTCCGTGACCTGCTCACAACAGGCTGGGAAGCCTTCCTTGGTGCCACCACGCAGGGTGCACGCAATGGGAATGTAATTTCGGATGTACATACAGAATCTCCTCTCTTAAATCCTCCCAGTTTTAAATCCAGTTCAAAAAGCAAACTTGTTCTGAGTCGCAAGTCCCAGTTGCAAGCTGAATATGGGCCAAACTTTAGAACTGGATTTACTGGAGGTGCCCGCTGCATCTCCGAGGCAGGCCCAGCACGCTGTGTTGTGCCCAGCAGCTTGCACCAACCTGGTGACCGCTGCATGGGCGCGGTTCGGGACGGGGCACGAGCGGGTTCCCCTGAGCCTTGTGCCTCGGGTTCTCGTTCACACCCGTGGACCCAGCTGTGAAATACTCCCCCCGGTTCTCCCATCTCCGCCCCAGTCTGCACAGATGAGAGCAATGCAGGACGTGCAAGGAGAGGGCCCTGCACGGGAGGACACCGTCCTTCAGGTACAGCAAGGCAGGGGTCTGAATTCCTCCTTAAATCTGGTCCAGTCCAGAGTCAAGCCCTAGAAGAGAGGAAATTGTGCTTGACAGATGCAATCATATGCAAATGGCTGTAGAAGAGGGGAAATTATCATCTACAAACATTGGGCAGAAATTCCATCTGCCGCCGCCTCAAGAAGGGCTCTTAATAAATTCTGAGACAGCAAAGTGACACACATCTTAATCAAGACTTAATCCATGGAATTAATTCACTGCGCGTTTCTGCATAATTCTGAGAGTAATGCTGAAAGCCACAGCAATAGCAGCAGCAGATGGACTCCCCCCTGCTCCGAGCAAAGGTATTAAGGAAAACACAGCCCCCGTCACATCGCTCCGTGTCCGTACACGCAGCGGAGAGCGACAGGGCTGTGCCCGGCTGCTGCCGGGGAAAGGCTGGGGATGGAGGGGAGGGCGAGGGAGGCTGCTGAGGGGTTTGTGAGCGAGAGCTGCTGCGGAAAGCGGGCAGATAACCCTCAGAGATGGCTCGCTGCCCTCTCCCCCCGGCCTGGGAAGCACGCCGCAGGTATGGCGGTCAGCCTTGCCAAGGGCCCTGGCAGCAGCCCTGCTCACGTTGACGGGAGGTTTCAGACAGCTCTGAAAATACATTCTTAGTCACCGTCACCCACCGCCAAAGGAGGTGCAACGGCTCTTGTTTACACGTCTAAACGCCAGCGCGGTCCGGGCGAAATGCTGCCTGCAGTGGGCTCCCTCCCCGACACGGGGGGTCGGAGGGGCCGGGCAGCCCTTCAGCAGCCAGAACCCCCTCTTCCCAGCTGACCCCCAGGTCACCAGGAGGAGGAGGTGAGGAGCTGCCCTGCGTCTCCCCGAATTCTGCTCCTCGGCATGGATTCAGGGCACCCATGGGGTCTGTCCTTCCTGCAGGGTCCCTCGTTGCCCTGTGCTGCCCAGCTTTTGGTCCCCACTGCGATGCCCAAGCTCTGCGCCATCTCCAGAGGGCACTTTTCCCCTGCTTGGAGAAGAAGCAGGAGCAGAGACGACAACCCCCCCAAGCAATGCTGGGGAAGAGCCGCAGGCAGGAGGTGCGGAAACAGAGAGGAACCTGGAACTGCAGAGATCTTGCCAGGCTCGGAGTCCGGTTTCCCACATCTCCTTGGACTTCACAAGATTTGTGGGAAGTTCTACACCAGAAGGTGTGGAGAAGACAAACACCAAAGCAAGATGCTCGGTCTGGAGGTCCCAAATGCCTGGTCCAAACCCCGCTTGTCGCTTCGTGCCTTCCCCGCCATGAGCGCCCGGTGCGGTCAGGACCAAAGCGATGCTCTCAGCCGAGCTCTGCTGAGCAGCGCAGGCAGAGGGTGGGGGGCCCCAGGGAAGAGCACCATGAGAAGAGTTGATCCTGGGACGGAGCGGTGTGGAAGGAGGTGGGAGAGGGGTCCCAGCGGTGCCCGCAGTAGTGGGGAGTGGCACTGGGATGCTTGCAGCAGGACGGTCACTTGAGGGGACACCGGGAGCCTCCGACCAGCACAAGCTGAGGCTGGGAACGGGTTGCTGCTGGAGCCGAGATCACGCATTCCCAGGCACCCGAGGGTGCGTGACGCGATTCCCGTGTCGGTTTGGGCTCCAGAGGTCCTGGTGTACCCCAGGGGAGCCCACCCGCACCGCCTGGGTTGCTGCTGGGGGCCCTCTGACCAGTGCCGCACACAGGAGTGCTCTCCTCGGGGTGCGTGCGTCTGTGTCGGTGCTCTCTGGACAACTTCACAGAATCACAGAATGGTGGGGTTGGAAGGGACCTCTGTGGGTCACCCAGCCCAACACCCTGCCCAAGCAGGGTCACCCACAGCAGGCTGCCCAGCACAGCGTCCGGGGG